GTTTTGAAGCGGACTTATGAAATAAAAAAACTAGATAATTTCTGAGCTCAAATCTGCCGTATTTCATAAGATATTAATGTTATTATGTAATTCTGGGGAGTTTGGAGTGAAAATTTGTTTTAGTTATTTTGTTATTTATTATTAAAAAAGGTGACATGGTTGCTAGATTTTGAATAACTCGCTTTTTTGGCAGTCTTGATTTGGCCTCTTTCCATTTGTTTATTACTGTTTGTTCGTGTTGCAAGCTGTGCACCATCTTACGTTAGTGTTAGCACTTTTAGTATTGTAAACAGTATTGTTAGCATTGTAAACATAAGTAATAAGTAAACAAATGCATTGTTTGCAAGAATCTCAAAACACAATGATACCAAATGGCTTTAAAATACAACTGAAACGGTAACCCGGAAATTTAGGCAGTCCCGAGCTTACAGCGCTCCCTAGTGTACAAAACACCATCCATATAATTTGGGCAACAAAATGTTCGAATCCGCTACTTTTGGAGCTCCTATTCGCTACTTTTTAATCTTAAGTTCTGGCAACACTGTTTCCACATGAACAGCTGTTCAGTGATTTTTGTAGATTTTCGCATAAGAGTAGAAGGAAGTGAAGGTCTGTTTTATATGATGGCAACGACTAAAAGGTTACTATTTTATTTCTCGTGGCGACATGATTTGCTGTTTTAGTCGCCAGTCAGTGCTTTGTGCTTTGGCTCCATTGTTGTGTAGTAGTTCATTGTAGCACGTGTGATATCTGATAATGATACACATTGATTTTATTAATTTTAGTAATTAATACTTGATTATAAGACCTATAGAATCAGTTAAATCTCTTATGGTAAGTTTTGAACTTGAAAAATATTTAATTTTTATGTTGTATTTGTTTATTGGATCGTGTTAAATCTTATATTTATACATATTAAAATCGCTCGATTATTGATGTAGTTAAGTGCTTTTTTTTTCTATGCATGAGGAAATGTTGAATAAATAACGTATAGCTAATGCAAAGAAACCACGATTATATTTAATTTCGCAATAGATTCATGTTATCAAATCTGTTATAGTATGTTGTAGGGTTTTATTGTTTTCAAAAGTTTTATTTTTTGTTAGGATTTTAAATATTAAATATCTATTTAAATATCTATTATATATCTATTTAATATTAAATATCTATTCATTTATTTATTTCACATGTTATCTTTTTTAGTGTTAAATATTGTAATCGCTAGATTGTTAATATACGTATGTATTTTTTTTTCTATAAAACGTGTAAGTGTTCAGTAAATAATGTATGACTACAATTTTGCAACATGTTATGGTATATAAATCTACTGTGTTGTTTTTTCGGATATCATAATTTATAACAGACTGTTATAGCTAAATGTGTTCAGATGGGGGGGCATGCATTTGCTTACAAAAAACATGTGATCTGGTTAACTAATAAGACGTGGTGTAATTTATAACTCAGTATTGTAATACATGTAATATTGTATACGTAATTCAATCATTTAGAAGTGTAATTTAAGCTCTTAATTTTGTTTAATTCATTTAAATGAAAAATTTGTTTTAGAATTAACTACAATTAAATTCAGTTTAGTAAAATTAAATATTTAAGAACATTTAGGTAATTTGAATGTATGAAGAAGAAATACTTGTAAATGAAAATAATTTAATTATTAACATACTCTGTGATCTAGTACTTGTTTCATAAGTAATTTATGAGTATTTCTTCTAATATATTATTTTTTTGTCCTAAAGTTTCATTTAGATGAAGGCTTGAGTTATGATTCGGGGAATCAATGTTGAAATATTTGAAACCCCATCTTCCTGATGTAAATACTGGGTCAAACGTGCAGCTTGAAAACTTTTCTGGATTTAAAATTAAAGGTTTAATGGAGAATATCAAGGAGTTTAATGGATTTAGTGTGATTGTACTACATATTGGTAAGTACCTTGTCTAATTTCACATAAATTTTGCTATGATTCCTCTAGACGTAATTAGGGGTCCTTAAGACTTTAAATTTCTGAGTTGTGTCTTATTAAAAGTTAGTTCCTACTTAGAATTTAAAAATTCTATTTATTGATGGACTGGAACTGCAACTCCCAATTACCTTTTAATAGAACTCAGTTGTTGTGTTTAAAAACAGTTGGTTTTCTGTGAATAAAAAATATATAATTTTTTTAGTTATATCCTAAATAGATTATGAGAAGGTTCCTGAAAATTTATGTATATTTTGTTCGACTTTTCAAATTGAAATAGAATAGCTTAATTTGTTAAGAAAGAATGTGATTCCCTAACAATCTTTCCAATGTTTATTTACTTTTTTTAGCTTCCATTTCAATGGAAACCATATTTCTCCCTATTTATTTAATTCTCAGCTTTTGTATATATACCAAAAACTCGAAGAATGTGCATTCAACTGCACATACTTCGACAAATTCTGATTTGTAATTGTTAATGAATCAAAAAAAATTCATTCCTCTTATTTGATATTTTCAAAGAAAAATATACTTTAATTTGTTAATACACTCACTATTGTCTTTAGATATTATTTCTATAATGCTGGGACTCTTTCCTACTATATTTATAAAGATTTAAAACCGCTGTGGTAGAAGCAGTTTTTCTTAATCGTTTTAAGTATTATGTAAATAAATATATTGGTAACTTTAATTTCAGGTTCTAATGATTGCTCTGCGGATGGTTGAACCAATCTAACAGAATATGAGAAAATGCTTCAAGAAATTTTGTTGAAGAATCCTAGTTGTGAAATTTTTATCACAAATGTAGAAATATGTTAACTTAACTAACTTATGTTATGTTATGAAATATGTAGACTTAACTAACTTTAAATAATAGGTTTTAAATGGGTATAGTATAGAAAAATGTTCATTCATATTTTTGCCTTTTAATTGTTTTGGGAGATTTATAAATGGTGTTCTACTGTATATTGTCATGACCATTTTAACCAACAATAAGTTGTAGTGTCTGAAGATTTTATAAGATCCATAACATTCTTTATTTAACCTTTTTTGATAAATTTGAATAAGTGTGCCATTCTTGTTTAAGAATTTTATAAAACAAAGTAATGTAAGGCATAAGGTATCGATAAAATGTAAACCTTTATTCCCTTCAACTTTTAGGATACCATCTAAAAAAATTTAAAGATTTAAGTGAGAAAAAGTATTAAATGGTCATGGCACAAAAGGAATATATGCCTCTTGGGGAACCCGCCTTGCTATATACTGTTAGGTTGTTCCATATTGAGTTATAATTATGGTGTACTTATTACTTGTTCCTGGTTTTCTATTTATAATGTTAAATTATAAAAATTTTAAACCCTGATCAATGTGGTTTTATAATCAGTTTTTAAATATGTTTTTGGAACAGCCTAATAAAAGGGGCCAACGCATCTGTGCAACCATACCTCTTGATCAGGGCTGTATTTACCTCGCTTATATATACAGTGTTGAAAGTTTTTCATTTTAGAAAATTTCAAAAGTGAAAGTAAATGTTTTAAAAGTTTCACTTCAAAAAAGCATAAAGAGTGCACAGCCCTGCTCTTGGGTGATGTGGAAAATGGTTGTAATCATGCATGTTTTAAAAGTTGAATTTCAGGTTTTTTTTTTTTTTTCATTATTCTGAGGAGAGCCTCAGAAGCCAAATTTACGATCATTTACTTAGCCTAGTGATGAAAAGTTGAACCTGTCATTATTAAGTCAACCTGTCAACCTGTCATTATTAAGCATCTTGTCTGTCCTAAGTGATGAAAGTTGGTTCAATCAGCTGTATCTTCAAATCCATTTAATTTTTGAAAGAAGAGCATGTTATAAATTTCAGTGTTACCTTTTAAAGAGCAACAGTGTTTCTAAAATGTGTTTGTATGTCATCTTTAAGCTGTATATAATAAAACTATTCTGTTTTGTTTTTGTTCAACAGTTACTGTGTTTATATACATGTTTTTTAATAAATTTTCAATCCTCACACTGCAGAGTTAATGTACCTTTTAATAATGTATCATGTAAGCAATCCACTATTTTTTGCAAGTATTATAATTTTTACAAGTTTTTTTTTTTCAAAGAGAGAATGTTTAGTTAAGATTCTATCTCATCAAAACTTTATGCATCATTTTACAGAATTCTAACTGAAAAAACTATTTATATTAACAAATTATATATTAAGAATTTCAAATATCAAATTGCTACTTAACTTAATAGACAGTTTTAAGTAATGTTTCAGAAAAAAAAGCCACATTTTCATTACCTGACTAAGGCTTTACAAATCACTATGTGCAAGAAACTTTAATTGTAATGACGCCGACTTGCTTGAAGTTGTTACATTTATACAAAAGTGAAAAGTATTTAAAAATTTTCGTCTTGAATGTTTTTTGTTTTTTAATTCTAGAAATAACACTGAAGATTATGTTGCCTTAGTAAATAAAGGATTATTATTGAACTAATGTGCATGCCTGTAAAATCTTGTTTTAAAGTTTCTAGTCCATTTTTTCTACAAACAGCTATTAGAACTGGTGATTGCTGAAAATAATATTTTAAACACTTGGCACAGTTGGGAAATTAATTTTGTAAGTTTTTCCCTGTAATATATACAGGGATGAGATTCTTCCGCGGATTTCCGCTTTTCCTCAGATTTTTCCATTTTTCCCGCTAATTTCCGCCGAAATTTTTTTTTTTGCACAAGTTAAAATATTTTATGAGGAATTTAATTTTCCGCGGAGCGAAATTATTGAAGTCCTCATTCCTCCCTCTGAAGTTTCTCTAAAAATCATTTCCTTGGGATAAAACTGGTTGACCTTTATACAGGGATGAGATTTTTTTCGCTTTTGTCTCTCGAATTTCAGCCTTTTTATCAAAAACTCAGATTCTCTAAAAGTTTCGTTTTTTTTATTTATTTATTTATAAATATCCCTTTTTTTTTAAAAAAAATTCAGTCGTTGAAGTCAAATTATTATATTTATTTACGATTTTCAAAGAAAAACAGAAAATTCAAACTACGTCCTAGCTGCTAATCCTTCCGCATGTTTACTTATATTAGCTATTTTCTCCGATTTCACGCACAGAAAATAAGATTTTCCGTATTTTTTATCCGTCGGCGGGATAGCTCGTATTTTCGTAATTTAGACGTCGCTGCTTCTTGTATTCTGGAGAGAAAGCAAACAAAAAAAGCGAAAAAAAATAGAGGTGGATTTGTGGTGAAAATATTTATTTGCTCATTCAATTAATCTTGTAAATTTTTATTTATTGTGTAAACAAAAAACAATTCAAACAATCCTTTTAGAAATCCCAAGTCCCGACTCTGCAAATATCTCGATTTTTATTCACGCGATTTTAATATCAATCATCGATTTTCGTATTTACCTGATTTAAAAGTTGCGCATTGCAATTCTTATTTACGCTTTTTAAATATCGTACATTATGACTCGTATTTACGAGATTTAAAAATCTAATATCGTGTTTTGTATTTTTGCATTTTTAAAATCGCGATTTTATTATCAAACATCGATTTTCGTATTTACCTGATTTAAAAGTTGAACGTTGCGATTCTTATTCAGGCCATTTAAATATTGAACATTGCGATTCTTATTTACGAGATTTAAAAAACCAATTTCGCGATTTGTATTTACGAGCTTTTAAAACCCTATGTAGCTACCCGAGCTTAAAATCCAATGCCGTGATTCGTTTTTGCGGTTGTAATATCGCGCGATTTTAAAATTATGCATCTTGATCTAAAAATTACGCATCATGATTTGTATTTTCGCATTTTTTAAATTCGATGTAGAGTTTTATATGCACGTGATTTAAAAGCCTCATATCGGGATTTATAATCACATGGATTACAAGTTTAAACAAAAATTAGACAAAAAAAGTGCGATTTATATATATATATATATATATATATATTCTTGGATTTCCTCTTTTTTACTTTCTGACTACTCTCATCCCTGAATATATAAATAAGTTTTGTTGTTAGAAGCTCATATTCACTTCAAATTGATTCCTTTGTTTTATTCAACTGACAATCGAATCTTCAGTATACGAAACTGTTCAATTTTGCAAACTGTTTAAATTTTAAATAAGCACTAATAAAAAGAAAAATTTAATGCAATAATCTCTTAAATAAATGAAGCTCTAATTGAACGTTATTTACAGGTTTCCCACAGTCCTTAAAAACTGCTCAATTTTTATTTTAGTACAAGGTTTTGGTAATAATTCCTCAATTTTCAGTATCATTATAATTGATCGAAACAATTTTTTAGTCTTACTAAAATATTAGAAACAATAATTCGTTCTTTCATTTCCTCGAATGAGACCATGCATCAAGAGTAGAGCATTTTTGAGAGACAAGAAGAGATGCCCTTTCATTAATATATTGGTTCTTATTTTTATAATTTTTTTCTTTTGCTTAAAATGGTACCCCTTAGGGTATATGGTTGCATTAAAATTAGTTAACCCTTTGCCTAGGGTGCACCATTGTACCAGCTGTAAGCTAAAGATAAATGTTTTATGCCAGATTACTTAGTAATATTATGTGAAATTAATTCCTAATAGCAGTTTTGGCTGAAAATGTTTTATATAAAGCTAATTATAAAAATGTAACATTTGCCATTTAGTAATAATTTCGAAATATTTAAATTGCATGCTATTTTTAATGGACTGAATTATGACAACAATAGTAGAGATTAATATTACGAAAGGGTGACGGTGACAAGGAAATTATGAAAAAATTAATTTATATTTTAATTAAGCAACCTTACCAATTTTCTAACCATGAAAAATCGTTTTAGACCATTTTATTTATATATAACATTGAGAACTAATGTATGAAATATCTTAGTTCGAAAATTATAAATCCTCTCGAGCATAATTGTACTTTTATCCTATAAAAAATTTAATAAAATATTTGTTGCAATGAATTTAAAAATATTAAATTAGGGCTTGTGGAAAGAAAGGGAGAGCAAATTAAGGAATTTGGATATTTGTAGGGCCTTGTATTTACTTGGAGTAAAACTTAATTTAACATGACATAATTAAGAAAATTCTCCGCATTCATTTTTTTAAATTCTTTTATTATATATATAATGAACATTTTATAAATTCCCTTATGAACATTTTATAAATAGAAAAAAAAAATTAATGGGTAGCAGCGAAATTTAAAACTTGTTCTAATAATTTTTTCAATGCTTTCCCCAAATTTCTTTATATACTCTTTTTTTTTTCTTGATGATGTGAAAAAAAATGCATAATAATTTACATAGGAATGCACAACCTTTTTGAGTAAAGGGCCACATTCACAGAAGATTGAAAGGCCGCATGCCCAAGTATTTAGAACATGTCAACCATATAATATGTTTGCTTAAAATTAAATACCTTTAACTGTTTAAAATTAAAAACTGATTACTCAGGGAAAAAAATTTAGATAATGGGAAAATTCATTTTTTTAGCACATTACATAATACTAAAGTTCATTTAACGATAAATTTTAACATTAAACATTTTTTATGTTCATTTAATTAAATTTAAAATAATTAAATATTCTAGTTAATAAATTAAATGCAAGTTAAATACTTTAATTTAAAGAAAGTTTGCAGGACTAAAAATGATTAAAACAAAACCTTTGCAGGGCGAAATAAGATTCAACATTTAGTAGGGAATAAACTCCAACTTTAATTTTTTTTTTTTTTTTAATAAATTATAAGAGGACGGGCTGTGAGAGAAGAGAAAGAAAGAAACCATTTTCCTTAATTATCAACAACTATAAAATACTTGTTAACAACTCTTTATGAACAATAATTTTTTAACATGACACTGCTAAATAAATATATATTAGCAACTAATTAAAATTTACGTTACGCTACTCATCTTGATTACACTTTTTTACTGTTAAAATATAAGGAAATACAAATTTCCCAGCATATGATCATATATGATACAAAATGGTCCATGTAAGTTGAAAATGGCTTAAAAGATCTTTTAATGGTTATCCTGCAATTTGCAAATATTGTGATAATTTTATCTACTTGATCATCTGATAGCTTTTTCGGGCCATTAAATGAAAATTTAATGATTTTGTTTAAAGACTGCTCCCCTAGCTAGAACAGGGATGGGCAAGTTTTTTTTTTGTCGAGGGCAAAAAATCGAGAGAGAAAAAGGTTTGATGGGCTAGGTAAAAAATTCTTTAAAGAAAAACTACTTCTGAATCGGTTTTTTCTAAGGTTCATAGTTGAAAACACTTGTTCACATGATGAAGCAAACATATATCACTGATTTTTGGGCATGAGATATGAAATTTGGGAAAGTAGCCCTTTGGCATGTTTCGAAACAACTGCTTCAGATGATTGCTAAATTGCAACTCAATATATTTAAGCTCCAACTCTGATCTCACTGTTTCACACTTTATGCTGAAAGGCATGGCAAAAATGAGTAATTCTGTTTGAATGCCATTATAACCTTGAAATCTGTGGCCTAACTCAAAATGGAGTTTTTTCCAGCGTTGTATATGATTTTTGATTTGCGAGAAGAGTAACATGTATGATTTTTTAAAAGCCAGAATACGAATCACGATGAGTGATTTTAAACCTCGTGAATACGAATTACGATGCGTAACTTAATTACGAGAAGACTCAAAACGTATGATTTTAAAAACGCACGCATATGATTTTTAAATTATGTGATCACGTAAAAGAATAGGTTGGTTGTTGTTAATTTACGTCGCACTAGAGCTGCACAATGGGCTATTGGCGACGGTGTGGGAAACATCCCAGAGGAGGATCCGAAGACATGCCATCACAATTTTGATCCTCTGCGGAGGGGATGGCACCCCCGCTTCGGTANTTTGATCCTCTGCGGAGAGGATGGCACCCCCGCTTCGGTAGCCCGGCGACCTGCGAGCGAAGTCGAGCACTTTACGGTAGCACAGTTTAACGAGGACCAATACCGCACACCCTCGGTCCCTACGCAGA